GCTAGATGTGAATGACAATGGTAGTTAGATATTTTTCTAGTTTTGCGGTTTTTTTTTTCCTGCAAAAGTATTTGGCTGTTGGCCAAAAATACTAAACTGCCAAATATTACTCTCACGAAGCATTCTTACGTACTATAACCAAGTAATATAATGATCATTAATCTAAATCCAGAAGTGCTAAAAAATACTAATCAAAATAAGGAAATTAATTAAAAGGCGTTGACAATAATATGAAAGAAGATCGAGTCTTAAAGGATACGTGATGTGGCTTTAAAGAAGAAAAATAATACCAAAAAGGCATAGGGTGTGGCTCACAATGAGAAAAAAGTAATAAATCCTAAAAATGTTGTAAATGCGGCTCTAGAATAAAAAAAATCTAATGTAATTGTAAGATATCATACTAAGCGGTGTTGGTAATTAGACAAATTTGGACATATAAAATTTATTTAAACAAATTTGAACATATAAGATTTTATACTTTCATATGTTTATGTCCAAATAAAATTTTTATTAACATAGTCCAAATTCCAACACTGATGCAAGCGAGGAACACGATCATTCAGTCAATATGAATATAACTAAATGCGCATATTCGAATACTCTTCATATGATATTAAGGGAAAATTCTAAAAAGGTATAGCGTGTTTCTAGAATGAAAGAAATCAATAATTCCTAAAAAGGGCGTGGCTCTGAAATGAGCCATAGTAATATACTAGAAGTAAATAATTGATTTAGTGGCTTTGAATTGTAAAGGATTAAACAATCAGGTACATTAGAATAAAAGTAAAAATACTCCTATCGCACAGCCAAGCCCAAGTCGACAGATTAGATTGATGAAAGTTATGATATATAGATGTATCTAAAATATAAAAAGGATTTTAACCGTTAATAAAGATACTCACATTTATCAGATATAAATTATTTGATAAAAGTACCCTAAATAAGTTTTTTCAAAAGCCGTAATAAATCACGACTGTTTCTAGTATTGTCCCTTGCGAATTTTTATTCTATAAACATTTAAATTATATTAAGTAAAGGATTAATTAAAGTCTTTTGACCACTCTATAAATTTAATCGTACTAATATAGTCTGCCTTGCATAGTAAACTATGCTTCCACCACCCCCTGCAGTGTACAATAATGCTGATGAACTCTTCCAAGATACACAAAGGTTCGCAAATTCCCAAGGTTATGTGCTGGCTAAAAAAAGAACTCGAAAAGATAACCATGGAGAATTAAAGAATATGACACTACGATGTGACCAGGGCAGTGTTTACCCTAACTCTTTGGAACTTAGTGAAGAATCAAGTCATAGGCAAAGAAGCACAAGGCTTATTGATTGTCCTTTTGAGCTGTACGCTGCTAGATATGATGGATCATGGCACCTAGAGATTCACGATGCAACACATAATCATGATTGCTCAAATAACATGGCAGGTCATACCATTTT